ATATTAAGTGTACTATAAATGTTAGGTATCATTATAACTAGCAAATATATGTTATAAAAGTCTGTCTCAGTCTAGAGGTTACTCCTTTTAAATTGTATAAAGGAATTTTGATACTAGACAAGTAATATAAGAACATATAACATTATGTTAGCCCAACCCAAATGCAGCTAATCTAAATATAGAGGTAACATTGTACTGAGATTTGACTCGTTGAAAAAAAAAAGAGAGAAAAGAAGAAGAACACTAGGTGTACTAATAAGAGTTTTGTTTCAATTAGGATGGTATGACGTCATGGGAAGTAAATTGCAGAGTACACATCCGGAGACACTGACTTGCTTATCGGTACGGGTGAGTAATTCCCACTCTTTTAAAAACTGGGAGTATGGGACTATATATATTTAAAAGTCACTACATCCTTGAGCACATTTTTAAATGTTATTGAAATATTAAATGCATATCATTGAATGATCCGACGGTGTACTTAATCACCACGGGATATGTGTTCTAGGTGCTACCGTATCTGAGATAATGTGATATCGCTATGTGATTGAACGTTGTTGTTGACTGGGTACTGGATTGAGTATGATCTCTGAATGTGTTGCTTCTGGTGGTGTACTTTTTCACTCCAGGACAACTATTGTTGTTAGCGATTGATTATTGTGAAATAATGTGTGATTGTTGCTTCGGTGGACTCTGTTCACTTGGAGCCTGGGCACTGCCTTTGTTAGGCGAACCTTGCGGGCCGACATCGGGCTTGGTTGCCAAGTTAGCTTACCTAAGCTTATTGTGTTGTCTAGATGGACGCGGAGCTCATGAGTATCCAAAGAGTGGCCACGAGGTGTTGAGGAGTAAATAGAAAGCCGTGTTGAAACCATCTCCTCCACCAGCCTTGTCGGGGTTCATGTACTGACCAAGAAATATTAAGAAAGGAAGCCACCACTTTCTTCAAAAAATTATACACTAGAAAGGCACAATCATCAGCACGGCATTACCACATCAGAGACTCCTTCCCTCCTATTCCAACAAGCATTCAAAGAATGTTAGAAGCTCACCTCAGGGATGAAGAAGTACGGGAAGCTGTCTTTGACATGAACCTTGACAAGGCTGGTGGAGGAGATGGTTTCAACACGGCTTTCTACCCGAACAACTGGAACATTATCCATACATCAATTTGCAACATGGTCAAGGAAACTTTCGCCACAGACAGTGTCAACTCAGAGATTAACAAAGCTATGATAGTGCTGATCCCCAAAGTGAAGCCACCTGAAAAATTCCAAAACCTAAGGCCTATCAGCTTAATTAACGAGGCTGCAAAAATCATATTAAAAGTAGCAGCGAACAGAATAAAAAAAGCAATGCCACATCTTATTGCACCCACACAATCCAACTTCATACACGGCAGGAGCATAATTGACAACATTATCATTGGCCAAGAAGCGATTCACACAATGCGGATGACGAAAGAAAATGTAGGATGGTTGGCCATCAAAATAGACCCAGCAAAAGCTTTTGATTGCATCAGCTGGGAATTCATACCGGATACTCTAAATGATGCTAAAATACCCACCTCACTGAATAGAGTAATACACAACCTACTTACAACTGGAACTATAAGAGTGATCTGGAACGGCAGTATGGGAGAAGAATTCAGTCCTAATAGAAGAGTTAGACAAGGCGACCCCCTATCACCTTATATGTTTGTCCTCTGTATGGAACTCCTCTCCCAGGCTATCAACAAGGAGGTGCAACAGGGAAGGTGGAAACCCATCCCCTTCGAAAACAACCAGGTATTTCTGTCCCACCTTTTTTTCGCTGACGATCTTATCTTGTTTGCAGAGGCTACCAGGGAACAAGGATGGTAATACGCAACACACTAGACCTATTCTGCAAAGTCTCAGGCCAAACAATAAACAACAACAAATCAGTGGTTTACTGTTTGCCAAATGTAGAGACTCAGATAGCCTACGACATAAGAAACTACTTGGGAGTCCAACTGGTGGACAACCTTGGGAAATATCTAGGGTTCCGATCATACACAACCGAATTGTTAAAAATTCATATCAACCCCTAATTTGTAAAGTCAGGCAGCGAACATCTCACTGGAATCCTAAAAGTATCAGCATGGCAGGGAGGCTCACGCTCTGCTAATCGGTACTAGCATCACTCCTGGAATACCTAATGCAATCCCAGGCCATCCCAGAAGGAGTTAGTGGCAAAATAGATTAGATAAGAAGAGACTTCTTATGGGGTTCAACACAAGGAGAAAAAAAGATGTCACTGGTTTTGTGGGACAAGGTTAGTCAACCAAAATCACATGGAGGACTAGGATTATGGAAATTAAGAGAGGTGAATACAACTTTCATGCTAAAACTAGCATGGAAATTGATTAGTGGAAGAAGTTGTCTCTGGACGGAGGTTTTTAAAGCTAAATACAGTACCAATTCCAACTCTAGGAACTCAAGGAGACAAAACCAAATAAAGCTAAGCTCACACCTTGGGAAACATTTAGCACACATATGGTCGATAGCAATACAAGGGATCAAGTGGCAAATTGGCAACAGGGAATCAACAACATTTTTCAAAAGATATCTGGCTATATACAGACAATCCTATCGAACATTACGCAACACAACATATACCGGAGGAACTTAGACATATGAAAGTAAAGGAATTTGTGGACATCGAGGGTACCTGGGATTGGCAAAAGATTAGCCAATGTACTCCAGTGGAGATTCAGCAAAAAAAAAAGGTCAATCCCACCACCAGACCGGTGGTGAAAGCCATATTCAGGAATCCAGGGGCAGTAAAAAAGATCAAAGAATCCAAGCTATGTGTAATGACTTATGGACAATTGAAGTGAGTAGTTTTGTACATTATGGCTTAGTATTATGTGTACTCTTATGTCATATGATTGAATTCAGGTATTGAAGGAGAACTCGTACTAATAATGATATGGTTAATCATGAACACAGTAATGTGCCGGAGGCGGTGTACATGCAACACCTGATGGGGGTGGAGGGTGTGATTGTGGATTTTATAGAACAAATCACGGATGCAGTGTCCAACTTGATAAGGCCCGGGGGAAATGATAAGAAGCAAGACAGAGGAGAGGATGAAGACATGGAATTATTAGTTCCTACTACAAAGGAAAGCAGCCGGCCTGTGTTTTCACAGAGGGAGTTGTCTTTCCTGCTCAAACTTATTCCGGAGCTTATACGGCACCAATAACAGGTGCAGCAGCAGTATGAGTAGTGTCTGTTTCCCACACCACCAGATTGAGTTCGTGTCAAAAAATTCCCTAGTCCCACCAAGTAAATGTGACTTCATGGTGTGTGTGTGTGTGAGTAGTAATTTGTCTAACAAACAGACTATATAGCTTGAGTAATTGGTGTGGGGGTTAGAATTGCTGCCAGTGTAAAACAAGCTGTCCTTGATACGCCAGTATGGCGTTGGTCTAGCACCGGCAACTTCACAACCTGGGCGGCGCTCCAACAACTTGCAAACAATAGATGGGATGAAGAAGACAAAAATTGGGATAAGGTGTGGAAATGGAAAGGTCCGCAGAAGGTCAGATTATTCCTCTGGAAGCTAGCAAGAGGGACGATGCCCACAAACGCAGAAAGAAGGCGACGACACATCTCCGAAAGTGACGCTTGTGGTTTCTACGGCAACCTAGAGACGTTCTTCCACCTCTTCGGGGACTGCCCCAAAAGTAAAGAGATCTGGAACATTATAAGGGGAGATCTCAATCCTCATTTCTGGTCACAGTTAGTTTAGAAGAATTGGATCTTCACTAATCTATCCTCTTCTAATTCACAGGGAGATGAAAGCTGGCCAACCTGGTTTGCAATTGGATGCTGGAAGATCTGGATGCACAGAAACGAAGAGGCTTTCATTGAAACCTACAACAACTCTAGACGCATCGCGATGGAAATAACGGCATCGGTGACAGAAACCCTCAGGGTCATCAAATTAACCGAGCAGAGAAAACCAAAATACCTCCGAACCATTGAAGAATCCAATTGGAGACCACCGCCGAAGGAATGGGTCAGAATAAATTCCGACAGAGGCTCGAATCCTGCTGCAAGAAAAGCGGCAGCTGGTGGGTTTATACGGAATGAAGAGGGTAAGTGGCTATCAAGCTTCACAGCCAACGTGGGAGACTGTTCTACCTTAGAAGCAGAACTATAGGGGGTGTATTTTGGGCTTCAGATCGCGTGGGAGTTGGGCTTTCGTAAGGTCCAGTTACAATTTGAATGTATGAAAACAAAAGCCCTGCAAGATGAATTTTGTTCCTAACCAGACTAGCAATATTTTGAAAAGAATTCACAAAATGATCAAACAAAAGTGGTTAGTTGAAATTTTGTACATTAGTAGGAACGGGAACGAAATAGCGGATTCCCTAGCTAAGATGGGCTACTCGGCCCCTCCGGGGTTACATATTTTGGCAATGCCGCCGACATCAGTACTAGATAAGCTTCGTTTTGAATCTTTAACTCCTTCTCAAGGAGTTAACATGTAATCTAAGCGGAAATCGCTTCCTCAGTGTATATATATATATATATATATATATATATATATATATATATATATATATATAAAAGTATGGAACAAACAATTAATAGTGACCGAAATTGATTATTAAGGGCTTGTTTGACCAATATTTTGTTTTAATTTTTGTTTTGGTTTTTATTCGGTTTGAAATGTGATTTAAAATGTGGTTTGAGATAAAATTTAAAAAGTTGTTTGAGTGATATTTTAAATAAAGTAATAATATTTTTAGATCACCACCGGACCACCTCCACTACCGCCGCCGGACCACTGCTGCGTGGTGGATAAAAATTGTGCAAAAATAATTTTTGGAATATTTTTTAAAAAGTAAATTAAAAAATTGTTTGAATAGTATTGAGATTTGTGTTTGAGAGGTGTTTTAAGAGGTAAAATGAGATAAAAATATAAAATAAGTGTTGGGCAAACAAGCCTTAATTCTTTTGTGGTGACTTGATATGTAGTTAGGCCTAACTTTGGTGGGTTAATGGTAGAAGCAAGATTTAAAAATCCAGAACGACAAATTTTCTGGTTTTTAGTCTCTCTACTTCTAAACCTTAAGCTAGAACTTCAACACTGAATTGGAAAAAAACAACACCCGTCGCCGTCGAAGTCGCCGTTTCCCGGAAACCCTATCTCTCTGAATCTCTCTTTATACATGTTCCATTTACATACTTAAAATTTCAAAGTAGATATGGATGACGGGGAGGGAGGTTTGAGTTTCGATTTCGAGGGCGGACTTGACGCCGGCCCTACACATCCCACCGCCTCCAATCCAGTGATCCAACCGCCGGAAGCCACTTCCACTGGTGGCGCCGCCGCCGTCACAAACGCCAGCCACAATAGCAACAGTCAATTTGGCGGTCCTCCTGCCACGACTCAACCCGGGACCGTTCATGATGGCGGCGGAATGGGAGGAAATCAAAGGCGTAGTTTCCGGCAGACTGTTTGTCGTCACTGGCTCCGCTCTCTTTGTATGAAAGGGGATGCCTGTGGGTTTCTCCACCAGTTTGATAAATCTCGGATGCCTATTTGTAGATTTTTCCGGCAATATGGCGAGTGCCGGGAGCAGGATTGTGTTTATAAACATACTAATGAGGATATCAAGGAGTGTAACATGTATGTGTATCCCGTCTATCTTATTGAATTTTCCTGTTGTTTGATTCTGTTACTCATGGGCTTCTGTGCGTATATTGTTTAATGTGTATTGTGTATTTATAATTTTGAAATTGTTTCCAAAATGAATTCCTATACTTTTGAAAGCTTGCAACTTATCTGACCTGGATGATAATTTTTCTTTTTTTTCTTTTATACCTTGAATGTTGCAGAGGTTGCTGTAGTTTCCTGGTTAGAATAATTAGAGCCCAGATTTTTTGCACTATTATTTGAATGAGGTATAGACAACGAAAGGGAAGAAGTAGAAATTCCATCTGCCCATGCATTGTTGTGAGTTTCTTGCAGCTATTTTCCTGTGGGCTGAATGCAAGAAATAGTTTGGCCTTTTTCAGGGAAAGTTTCATAGGAAAAGGATTTCTGTAAATTTTATTTGGGATAGTGACTGCGTGGCAGTTAATCCTTTAACTTTAAACTGTTGTACAAGTGCGGTTAGACCACCTAGGAAGTGGTTTCTTGGACGGGTTTTGATCATACAATTTGAAGTGGTTTTTGCTGTTTAATGTGGCAAAGAAATTCTGAATAAGAGTTCTAACTGAACAAATAAATGTGCAGCATGATTTGTTGCCCTGTTTTCTGAATACTCATATATTTGTTTGTATGTAGCTTATATATTGGGTCCATTATGATTTGAGTTTGGGATAGTTCTTGAATATGCTTGTTATAGTGCTTACTTTTTATTAGCAGATACTATTTTCTACAATTTTATTTGGTTAATCTGATATATTACTGCTCGGCCACACGTATAACGTGTATTCTTTCTAATTAGCTGTACCATATTTTAACTTTTTATCCCTTGAAGAAATAAAGGACACTTGTGAAATGATTAGTCTAGCATGATTATGCAAACTCTTGGGTTTGATCACATGAGAATTTATCATTATCTGGGAATTATGTCTGTAAATTTATGCTACGAGCAGCTGTGGGTTTGTGCTTACAAATATTGCTTTATTTTCTCCTTACGTCCTCTCATAGTACTTGAGAAGTTGAATTTCAGAATTCTTGTCAGGTTTCTCCCAATTCTTTGTGTGTGATGTCCATTTCATCTAATATTCTATGGTTTTCATTTTTGTATTGATTGCTGTATTTTAGAAAACTTTCATGTTATCGATGATGCAACCGATGCCTAGTTAAGTGGTTGGCTATTGTTCACGTGGACATTGTGTCCTGAAGTATATTTATTGTAAATAAGGATTCGTCACAAAGCTCATATTTGTCAATATTTAGATGCCTTAAAGAATGTACATTCTGTATACGAGTTAGCACTTGACTCGATTCTTCATGGAACTACGACTTTTTATCTATTGTATATCAACATTTATAGGTGTTTAATTTATCTTGTTTTCTGATTGTTAGTTATTTGTTGCAGGTACAAATTAGGATTTTGTCCAAATGGTCCTGATTGCCGATATAGGCATGCAAAGCTCCCAGGACCTCCACCTCCAGTAGAAGAAGTGCTCCAGAAGATTCAGCAGTTGACCTCCTATAATCATGGAAATACAAACAGATTTTACCAAAACCGGAACTCTAATTTCTCACAGCAGCCAGAGAAATCTCAGTTTTCTCAAGTAAATAATGGCTCTAACCAGGTTGCAAAACCTACTACTGGAGACTTTCCTGCTGGGCAACAGCAGCAGAGTCTGCCGTCACAGCAGATATTGAACCAGGCTCAAACACAAAATATTTCCAATGGGCAACAGAATGCGACAAGTAAAGCTACTCCTCTGCCTCAAGGAACATCTAGGTGTGTTCAGAGTTTCAAGGTCTTCTATTAGGTCATGTAATCAGTTGTTGTACTTAATTGTGGACATTTATAATGTCAGCTGTAACAATGTTTTAAAATTTCTTGGTGGGAAATATATATGGTTTCACATATAAGTTTATACTACTATTTTTCTTTAACAATGATGTATAATAAGCTTTTATGAGTGTCCGTTTGCTTTGAATTGTTTAAAATCTGTCGATGCATGTAGGATAAACTGACTCTGATGCCTGTAATGTGGTTGACGTAAAATGGTAGGTTTATTATTCTACAAAACGATCATTATTTCAAACACATGATCTCTTGATCCCTTACTTTTCTCTTATAAATATTAATGAATCTATATGCATATCTGTTTATGTATTTGTCTCTGAACTACCTTCTTATGTACTTAGAGGGATCCCATTAAATGGATATTTAGTGTTACTAGAACAGGAATATCATGTTCCTTGGTTTATAACTTGCTGTACTGGTTCTGGTAAGCAAGCATGCTGCTGTTGAGACCTTGATCAACTGAATTAATTATGCTGTGTTAATTACTGCAGGAATTCTGACCCCTCTTTCTCTTTCTTTCCTTTTTTTTTTTTAATTTTTTTAAGTTTTTAAAAATTTAAGTTTTGATTTTGACCAAGATATCTTTTGTGTAAATGGCCTAAGGCTTCTGCATTAGCATTTTAGTTAACTTACAACCACTGTATTGAAACTGATGCTTTTTGATTCTTCTGTGTTCATCACGTTCCTTTCACCATTCTCTTTACCCTGATTCGTCATATATTCAGCTCGGTATGATTTATGAATGATCAAATATACAACTTAATTTGCATGCTATTTCTGAACGAATTAGCAAGTCCTTTGATCAAATAAATTTTTGAATTTCTGTTTAGCAACGAAAGGTTCTCCCTGGAACTTGGAATGGGTGCTTTTATTTATTTTGGGATAGGATTTTCAATTGACTGTGGAAACTGTTGTTTATAATCAGATGAACCTTGGATATAGATATGCATTCTGTTTGTTATCTGCTCCTTTACATAGGAACCTGAAATACTCGGAAAAAAACATACTCACATTAGAAGACTGTTTGAATAGAAACTGTAATGTTGTTGTTGTTGTTGTTGAGCGTTGGTAACATTTCCGATCTGCTTTTCTAGCGAAAACACGAGCAGTGGCACGAGGCGGGTCAATACTTAAACTTGACTCTTTCTCGCTAGTGTAATTCTTTAGTGCCTAAAGTTAAGTTTGCTGTCTTGGGTTGATCTAATTGGTAATAATATGAGAATGTCCAAACAAAACGAACATAAATAGTCTGTAGGTGAAGACTAGTGAGTCTGCTTCCTGCAATTTATGCATTTCTGACATTTGCTCTAAAATTTGTTGGTTTTTGAACCAGAAGAGTATTCTATGTGTGCTTTCGACGGTTTATCTTCGAAATATGGATTTATGTCGTACAGTCAGTATCATTATCTTTTACAAATTTTGTGGAATTGGTTAGTTCTAATTATATGTATCTTTGATAATAAACTCTATATGTGTGCTCTATATCTACAAAGAAAAAGAATGTTTACTTATGCATCCAAAATAGCATTTGGAAACTCTGTTAAAGGTGACAGTTACTGGAGCTTTATCAGGCTTCCAACCTCTTGACTGCTTGTGTGTGAGCATTTCTTAAAACAACATTTTTTTAGAAAGAAAAATTTCCTGGAAGGAGGCTTGACAGGCGTGCTTGTTGATCAGTTGCCAGTTATTGTAGCTTAAGTTCTTTTAAAGAAATTTTCTGCACAGCCTAACTTAATGTCTTTATAATACATGGTTCATGTTTACAAGTCTGGAAGCACCTGATGAAGGACAAGCAATTCTCAGGGATTTATCTTCTTATTGTTGTTTACCTCTTCCTCTGTTTGCAATAAGACACGTTGAACATGTGCTGTCCTGATGGTCACTTTTTTACATAAATCTCATTAGAACATATCTTTTATATGACTTGGTTGTTAGGGGTTCTTTGACATTGTCATTGCGTGCTTTTACCTTATTTTTCTTCTATTGCAGAACTACTTGGATTGTGTTGTTTCTACTCTTTGATTTTTTTTTTTTTGGAATTTCTTACCCGCCCCGCCCCCCTCCCCTCTTCATGATGTGGTACATTATCTGCCTGAAAGGAATCAACTCAGATGATTTATATAGCTTGTGGCTCTGCTCTGGTGTTAGAGTCAGAAACCTAATATCTTTTAATTTGACGGGAACCAAGTATTTGTATACTTAGGGTACTAATAGAGTGAAATTGCCCAGGCTTGTAATTAATCACTTGAAATACTCCTTAAAATAGTCCTGTTCCTTTGTTAGGTATTGACATTTTTCTCTTGGAGAAGAGAACTTGTTAAGGTTGATTTTTCTATTTTGCTTATAGCTTTGCAATTTGGAAGTTGTCATTTGAAAAGGAGATATTTTCTGTTTAAGAAACTCTAATCGTTCTGCTTGGCAGTTACACTTTTTATCATTTTGGTCTTTGAACTGTTATAGTTTGCTCTTGTAACTTGGTGTATTTTGGTAAGGCTTGGTAATTTCTTAATTGGTAGGCTTTACGTGTTACATTGGGCTGGGTTTTGTGCTTTTGTAACTCTTTTTTATTCTAGAGCTTAGGTGAAATTCTGGTACGATAGAGCTATCTGGAACGCTTATCTGAGAGGAAGAATTAGACACAGAGCGAATGTTTAGGTTCTGCTAGTTGCCTACTTATCTGGGATGCTTGTTTTGTTCTTACAAAACTCTTTCTTCCTCCTTTTAATAGTCTATTGCCCTCTAAGCTAACTGTGGAAAGTAGACCTTAACCTTGCAGCTGTTAGAGAACTTTTAGATGAATGTAGTTTGTCATGTTATATCCACAGGCTTGTATGAATACAAATAAAAACATGTTTTGATGGAGCACAGTGGCAATATATAATTTATATAGCCTATGTGAAGAGTGAGATAATAGCTTGGTTGTTTTGTCGTTGTATATTCAAAATGGATTGGATGGATCAGCTAGAGTACAGATTGCTGGGTTAGATTCGTTTGCTGGTTGTTACAACTTGTTCTTGGCTTATATACTTGATCTTTATCATTATTTAATTAGGATCTCCCAATATTTGTTCAAGTTATGTCACAGTTACTTTTGAGATGAGTGAATGTTTTCTCTTTAAATAAATTTGATCATGTTTAGCACTTAGCTTTCTTTAATTTCACTCTGATCAAATAGGCATGTCACTTATAAACTTGATTTCATGAATTTTCACTTTTTCTTATTCACTTTCCTCGGGGGCAGCAATAAAAGGGTGTTATGAAGGAGTGAATACTATACAATTTCTTTTCTATAGCCAACCTGAATTAGAATATTTGGATACTTTAATGGTTTCAGAACAACAGATGTATTGTATTCGCAGACATTCTGATTTTCCTTTTTCTGTCATAGAGAGTTGGTTTGATACATACTTCAGTTTCATGTCTTTTCCTACAGTACCTTTTGATGAGCTTTTTTGTCTCTCTAATTATTGTCTTCTTACTGTTGATTTTTTCTTTGATCAAGGTACTTCATAGTAAAAAGTTGCAACCGTGAGAATTTGGAACTGTCTGTTCAACAAGGTGTATGGGCAACTCAGAGGAGTAATGAGGCCAAGCTAAATGAAGCTTTTGATTCTGTGGACCATGTTATCTTAATCTTTTCCATCAATCGGACAAGACATTTTCAGGTGTGTTTGAAGCTTACCACTGTGTTCTGACGCATGCTTGCAAGAAGTTCTTTTGTAATTTATCTATGGTGTTATAGGGCTGTGCAAAAATGACATCACGAATTGGTGGATCAGTTAGTGGTGGCAATTGGAAGCACGCGCATGGAACTGGTCATTATGGGAGGAATTTTTCAGTGAAATGGTTAAAGGTACTGTTACATTTTACTTATTCTGAATCCTGCAACGCATTGTATTATTTCGGAGACCCTTTGTTCTATTGCATTTCTTTCCTCCTTTAGATTTGTTTGTCATAGATCAGCACTCCAGTGTTTTGCTTTACATCGGTTACATTGTTTGGCCAACTGTGCTTCTATCTTTCTCTATGCAAAACATACATTTCATGTTGCAAAATTCCATTATGAATCCGAGGTTTTTGATGTTTGCATTAGTGTTTTTAATTTATTGCTAGTGGCAGAGAATTTAAAATTTCCGGTGGCTATTTACAAATTTCAAATTTACAGAAATGGGGAATTACTAACACAGAAAGAGGGAAGGTGACAACTAAAAGAGAATTGGAAAGAAGCTGTAAAAAATAAAACAACGCAAACAACTTAGCTTCTGTCCTTACTCGTGAGGTAGCTATGAGGATCATATCATTATTTTAATCCCAAATGAAAATATGTACATTGGTACAGCATGATAGGAAGAAGCGATCCCCATAGACTACCGAGTAGGTGGATAAAGGCTTAGATGATATTGTCGTTGATTCCTTTAGTCTCTTTTGGCAGCATGCGTCGAGAATGTTCATTTCAGGCTTTAGACTGCGTCTGACTATTCTCTTTCTTTTTCCTAACTACCTGCTTTCAGCTTCTGTAAATGTGACTAGAGAAGATAGTTGGCATGTTGAAATGTTGGTTTATCTTGAATTAATAGTGTATGATTTTGGATATGGAGATTCTTGTTTCTTGATAAAATCTCACCCTGGAGTTCAGCTGCTGCATAAGGATCAATCTTGTAATTGAAGCATCACATTGATAGATCGTGTTATACTTATAGTACGTAAAATATTTGTTGAAGTTTGCATGAATAAGTAGTTTAAACTTTAAAGGTCATATAAAACTGTGCCTCTTTCGATTCCGTTCTAGTGTTTTACATTAGTTCTGCTAGTCCATATGTCTCGCCAATAGAAATCCAAATTTCTTGATGTAGGTGCATTTTGAACATTTATTCTTAGGTAGGGTTTTGGGAAGGACCGAAGGAGCATATATACTTTTAAGGTTAAATCTGGTTGCCAATGTTTTCAATGAACATATATTTAGTCGTGATCCTTTCTCCTTATCTTGGAATATTGGTAATTGGTTATGACCACAAAAAGATCTTCACATTTTGGCACACAATCTTTGCGGAAGTAGCAAAATTTTTCCCACTCCCCAGTCTTCAAAACTAGCACGTAGCATTGTCCATATTATAGTTTGTGGCAGTTGAGGGCAACCTACGGAATATTCAGTCAACTTATGTCTAAGAGGGTTTAAATGATTGGACAAATCTGGAACATGCTTTTTGTTCATGACTGATCTGTTAATAGAATAATTGTTCCTCTCCAAAGGAGCAGCATTTCCACAGAGTGGTATTCCTGGCAGAATGTTCTAGTTTTAAAAGAACTCTTTCCGGGCGTTCGTGTTGTCTTGGTTGAAGTGAAGGTGCACGCGAAGTACTCAGTGGACCAGCTTTGGTACTTTCTTAAGATTTGAGATCCAATGTGCTATTAGTTCTAGCATCTCTTTTCTTCTTTCAACATCATTTAACTCCCTCTTTCCCCTTCTTATCCCCGATGCTGTCTTCAGTTGCTGCAATTGGTATCAGTTTGAAATGAGAAAACTATTTTGTATTTGGCAATGGCTGTGCTGTCCATGTTGCTTGCTTTGGTTTTTTACATTTGTTATTTTCCGTGGACAGGTTCTTCCTGTCTTACTAGTAGGTTATGGATGCAAAGATGTATCGCATGTCTCTTTATATCATCAAATCCTTCTTTATATGGTGATATATCTGCAAGTATAGTTAGTGTGTATTTCGTATGTTGACACAATATTCTCTTGCAGCTCTGTGAATTGTCTTTCCATAAAACACGCCATTTGAGGAACCCGTACAATGAGAACTTACCAGTGAAGGTATGACTATAGCTTTCTGCTGCTTATGCATGTTTTATTTTGTTGCTGACTTCCAGTCAGGCTTAACAAAGTTACTCTTCAATGACATATATGGTTCGATTGCAAGAACACATCTGCTAAACCTCTAGATTAGTTTGTAGGTTAATAAAACTTGATACAACAGAAGCAACATGACTGAAATGTTTATGAGCTTTCCTGAGCTAATTCTGTAGTACAAACTTAGCTGTCCATTAACATCCTGCATAATAGAATTCTTCAAGTTTGTGCCGGAGTCAGTTCCTTGCTTGTTTTATTTTCATCTCTTTTTTATTTATTTATTTTTTCCCCCTTTTTTTTTTCGATAGGGTATTTTTTCCTTTTCATTTGTGACAAATCTTTGTGGATTGATTGACATTTTTTTCCTTTTTCATATGCTTTCAGATAAGTAGAGATTGTCAAGAGCTGGAGTCCTCTGTTGGCGAGCAGCTAGCTTCATTACTCTATCTCGAGCCAGACAGTGAACTTATGGTAATTTCCTCAACAAGTTTTTAAATCCAAGTGCATCTTTATTTCCTTCCCCCTCTCTTGGTTTGATGATTGGAACAAAGGGTTTCTTTTTTCGGATAAGATTTGCCTTTTGTCGTGATGTTAATTTATTAACCACATGGAACCATACATGTCTTCATCAGTTTTATTGACCATCCAGTCAAACTGCTATCTTTTAACATTGTGTATCTGTAAGAGAAGCCCTATTTAATTTGCTTGGAAAATTTGACCTGCAAATACTATGAATTTCGTCACTTTGTACACAGGCAAAGGCTTGCAATATTTTTAGGAGAACGTTTCAGATAGGGACTTGAAACAGCTAATGAATTAGGAATGCTTTCAGGCCCTGCTTTGTAAACTCCTGACCAAACCTTTTTCTGCTTGAAAAAAAATCCTGCAAAGTAAAGTGAAGCACAGTTAAGATTGTGTATAATTGTTACTAATTTTTTGGGGCCCATCTCTCATTTGAAGAACTGAGAACGACAATGTAATCCTTGTTCTTCAACCGATTATTCCAAAAGAATATTTAATCTTTCTGCATACTGCTTAATGGAGCCAGGCTCATGCACGCCAGAAAGAATTGGCATACTGCTCTTGCAATCTTCTTACTATTTGTGAGAAACAGTGGCACATAAAAGCTTTCAGTGACGGGCATCCTTTGCAGCACAAAACTTGAAAGCCAACTATTACATTTAATAAAATATTTGTCTGGTAAAAGATTATTGGTTGAACTGGGTAAAACCTCATTATCTTTCAGGCTATTGGTGTTGCTGCTGAGTCAAAGAGGGAGGAGGAAAAGGCAAAGGGCGTCCCAGAAATCAGAAGTGAGAACCCAGATATTGTCCCCTTCGAGGACAATGAGGAAGAGGAAGAAGAGGAGAGTGAGGAAGAAGAGGATGAGAGCTTTGGCCAGGTTTACGAGGCAACAGGCCAAGGAAGAGGAAGAGGAAGGGGAATGATGTGGCCTTCTTTCATGCCCTTAGCACGAGGAGCAAGGCCACTACCAGGAATGCGTGGCTTCCCCCCTGGTATGATGGGTGGTGATGGGTACTCTTATGGTGCTGTGGGACCTGATGGTTTTCCCTTGCCAGATCTTTTCGGTATGGCTCCTCGACCTTTTGGTCCGTATGGACCTCGATTCTCTGGTGACTTTCTGGGACCTGGACCTGGAATGATGTTTCCGGGCCAGCCTTCGCAACCTGGAAATTTTCCAGCTGGCGGATTTGGGATGATGATGGGTCAAGGAAGGGCCCCTTTCATGGGAGGAATGGGTGTTGGTGCTGGAGGACAAGGGCGACCTAATCGGCCTGCTGGTATGAACCCATCATTTCCCCCTGGACCATTGCAGCCTTCTCAAAACTCAAACCGAGCAAAAAGAGACCCAAGAGCAGCCATGAATGACAGATTCAGTTCAGGTTCGGACCAAGGCAGGGTTCAGGATGCGGGAGCCTCAGTTGGACCGGATGGTGATACAAGGTACCAGCAAAGAGGAAAGGCTCAGAAAGAGGAAGAGTTTGGTGGAGGAAACAACTTCAGAAATGATGAAAGTGAGAGCGAGGATGAGGCTCCAAGAAGATCAAGGCATGGCGAGGGAAAGAAGAAAAGGCGCAGTTTGGAAAGAGATGGTCCTAATGCTGATGCTTAGGTTAGGTGAAGTAATCACGTAAAATGTTTTTACCGGGGACATCATACCATTAACATGTGAAGCTGTTTCATTTTGTGAGGCAAACGGTCGTGTCCATTCTTGGTACATCTTTTTGTGTAGGTTGGTTGGATCTTGGCAGTATATGTTTGTACTGTGTTGATTAACTGGTGTAAAATTGATTAGCATCTAAGGTTGAAACTGTTTAGGCCTTAAAGTAACCCATAGTGATAGTAAATTCTGGGAACTGTTTTGCCGTAGCCGCTGGAGAATGGTCCTCAGAATAGGAAGGCCCTTGAATGGTAGAAAAGAGTAGACATAGTATTGGAAATGCTCTTGGTTTTTTGTTAATGCTTTGTAAACTTTTGGGAGACATGCGGCAATTTTCATGATTTGATATGGGTTAGGTTCAGTTCAAATCTTGATCGATGTATGAAAACCAGATTTCTTAACTAGAACTGAAAAAGCAAATTGTGCAGAATCACAACACCCCTCTGGCGGCCGTTTTTTTTTTTTTTTTTAATATTTCACACTTTTCGTCTAAAGAAATCATTATGCCTCGAGAATTTAATCAATCAATTACAGAGACTTCTGGCGGGAGTTTAATAATCAACTTCAAGTTGTAAAAAAAAAAAAAAAAATCAGTGTTCAGTTGAAAATTATTGTGGACCGGTGAGGACAAAGCTTGGGATGCAAATTCTATCGATGTATCTCAAAATGATTAATTTTATTCAGTATGTAACAAATATGAGCATCAGTTTGAGACGGGAGAATATTTGGTGCAACAAATGGTTTATGTGGGTTTAAGACTTGAGCATTAAGATATGGAGCTCATGGCTTTGCCCACTCCTGGAGGTTCCTTTTTTTTTTTTTTGTATAGGTTTCCTCATGGTTGTGTTAATTAACTGGTGTAAGATCGATCCAACAGTATCCAAAGTTTGAAACAAGTATCAAAGTGATTCTGGGAATTTTTTTTTCTTTTTTTTTTTTGGAGGGCCGGAGAGCGGTCTCCCTATATAGGAAGGCGCCTTGAATGCTAGAAACATAGTCCTGGAAATGATCTTGGGTTTTTTTTTTTTTTTTAAATTTTTTTCTTTTTGGTAAATTCATTGCAAACTTCATTTTTTTAAAAGAAAATAAAATACATTACCATTGCTGGTAATATATTTAGAAATAGGCTAAGGTTAAAAACTCTCAAATCTTCGGAACCATAAGCCTAAGGTTAACCTTTTGGATTTAGAAACAGCCAACGTATCCCATGAGAACCAATGAACTTTTTTTTTTTTGGGATTAAATCGTTGTTTGTTATATTTTTGGCTCGTTGTTCTCAATATATCTCTGGGGTTGAAATGGTTTGATTGTTTTGAATTAATTGCACAGGTTGCCTATCTTTGTTAAAAGCTTGACCTACACTCCGTTTAGATCTATTTGGAGATTTTTCATTTATTTATTTTTTGATTTTTTTTTACCTTCATCATCTTATTTAATCTTGGGAAAATTTAGCTAAAGGGCGGTAGAAGAAGTCAAATTAATAAAAGGGGCATGACTTTAAAATATTTTTTATAAAGGACGATAATTTATTTGTCAAAAATCATAAAATGAAAAATACTATGAATTGACAGTATCACCCTATAATTTCTTACTCACAAAAAATATAAAATTAAAAAAATCCTAAATCTTGGGGAGTTGTTTCGGCTTTTGATTACTTCAAATTAAGTTGTAGAAACTCAAATATGATTGCAACCCTTTTCTTGCTGCAGCATTAGAAATAGCAAATCGAGAAGTTGCACTCAAATTGGAACAGTTACAGGCACCACTTGTGAATTAGAGCATCAAGAATTGAGAGCCCAGCCCCCTATTGACACTATCCAACTGCGAAATTCTTGTTTTTTTTTCCTGATTCCAAGAACCAAAAACCAACAGTCGACGAAAGTGAACTCTCATTTTTCTATTACATTTTTGTTCCGCCTGTTTATGAGTTGAAAATCATGTATAGATAGGTGCAATTTATTAGAATTTTGCAATGAAATGAACATAATAGTTTTCAACTTTTCGGATAAATGCATGGAATCCTGCATAAAAGTGTTTGGGACAAAAGTGTTCGAGAAAAAAAAATTGAATGCTAATTATTATGATGATGATGACGATGATTTATTTTTCTTGTGCAACTTTGATTTGACGATGATGATGATTTGTTTTCTTGTGCAACTTCGATTTTTTTGAAGAGAACTTTTGAAGTATTTGGGAGAAACTTTCTGAATTTCTAAACCCATGCCCTTCTTGTTGTGTATTGTAATTTTTGAAAAAAAAATGAAAATACTCAAAATGTATAAATGGGGATTCTGTTTAAAATCACTATTCCTGAACGTAAAAAAAGATGTATCCACAAATGGAAAGAAGAATGATTACAACAATAATCATAATTTAGATATGTAGAGCTCATACATGCTTAGCTTGTGACTTTTTCCTTACCAAAATCATAAAGATGCCTGGGAAGATTGATTTCTTCTTTTTTTTCGTAACTTCGACTTCAGCTTTAGGAGAAGATTCACTTTCTGTGTTGCTAGTATACTTCATGGTTTGGTTCATGTATGCCTTTAGTCTCATCCTTTGATGCATCCCAGCAACATCAGTTGAGTGGTCCAAGCTCTTAACTTCTTGACAATCCGGAACTGACTCTGCAGCAGCTTTCTTTCTCGACTTATCCCTCCATTCCCTTAACTCTTGTTCTACACCCAATTTAATTGACTTCCTTGGCTCAGCTTCTTCAAGCTCTTTCTATTGCTTTATCGAAGATAATATCATATGCCCGAATTATCCAAAATTCCAATTACCCCCTTTTTCTTTACTTTCGAGCTACCCCTCTTACCATTACCTTTCCAGCAAGCTCCTTGTGGTTTGATTTTCTTCGATCGATCAAACTTCAAGGTGACCGTTACTTATGGTTGGAAAGAAATTAAAAAAGGGGGAAAGGAAGGTGGAAATTGATGGTGGTGGTGATCGTTGCAGAAGGAAGTGAGGAGAAGGAAAGGTTGGCTGTGGTGTTTCGATAAGGAGAAATGGGGAGCAGAGATGATGATCGTGAAGATTGACCAAACTTTCTTTTCTTTTATTGTTTGAATCAGTTGGGACTTAAATTTGGTCCAGATTTTCATTTCCTATTGTTTTTTTTTTTTTTTTAATTTTATGATTTTTTGTGTAAGAAAATATAAGGGTAATACCGTCAATTCAAAATATTTTTTATTTTATAATTTCTAACAAATAATTTACCGCCCTTCATAAAAAATATTTTAAAGTCATATCTCTTTTACTAATTCGAGTTCTTCTACTGCCCTTTAGCCAAATTTTCCCTTTAATCTTTGAAGATCTGATTAGAACCAAGAAAGAATAAATCTTTGTCTTTTCTTTTTGTGTTTTGGTGCATGAGAATCATGTCGCCAATCATGAAATACCACTGGTAACCTTTCTATACATAATTAGATTTTAAAACTGTTAGAAATTAACAATATCTGTTTAAAATTTTCTTTAATTTAAGTGGTAGTAGATTTAGCGTTTTCTTTAATAAACTCCCGATTTTGCACTCGAACTTGTCACTCCGTGTTTGCCTAGAGTGGTTTATCTTTGTTAAGCTCTGAACTGGAAATGATAATTTTATTGATGGAAATGGAACCTTACTGGCGCCGGAATGACGTCAGATCAACCAAAGAGTACAAATCGTATCTATCTCCAGAAATAAACTGAGAAAAACAACTCACACAATTCTTATGACTTATCAATAATGATCTAGAACAATCTTACTTAGATATTTATAGCTAAAAGACAAAATGAACAAAGCGGATCACGTGTAACCCGTTGGCCCGACCCATTTGTGCATGAAAATAGTAAATGTTGTTGTTGCTTCCCGCGCTGCGCCAAAGCCAAATTCAAACTCCACCAACTTCCAGAATTTGGCAGGCATAACATTCCCTCCTCCTAAAACAACACTTGACCTCAAGTTTGGAATCTTGGAAATTGGCCTTTGATGAAGCTACAATCTTCCCAGGAAGCATCTTCTACATCCAACCCTTTCCACTTGATCAACCACTGATTCACTTGCTGTCCACCCCTCCAAATGAACCTCCTTTGCAGCACTTGTTCAGGCTCTAATGCATGATTGCGGATCATCCATATCTGGTAACATGATAATAGAAGAAGGAGCTGGTCCATGGCGTTTCTTCAACAAAGATACATGAAAAACTGGATGAGCCTTAGAACCAGGAGGAAGTTCCAACTTGTATGACACACTTCCAATTCTTTCTAGGACCTTAAAAGGACCAAAATATGTGAACATAAACTTCAAGCAACTTTTAGAAACCAAAGTTTGTTGCCTGTATGGCTGTTGTCTCAGGTAAACCATTTCTCCCGCCTGAAAACTCCTTTCTGTCTTCAGTTGATCAGCATACCATTTCATTTTCTCTTGAGCCTTAACCAAGCTATCCTTCAACTTCTGCATGATCACCTGTTGCTGTTGAAGCATATATGTAGCTGCTGGAATGATAGCATCATTGTAAGTCCCCAAAGGAATACTAGCAAGTTGAAAACCATACAGTGCCTGATAAGTAGTCATTTCAGCACTGGAACGAAAGGTTGTGTTATACCACCATTCAACTAAAGCAATCCACTGTGACCATGTATCAGGAGATGAATGATAGTAGCACCTCAAAAAGCTTTCTATACACTGATTTAATCTTTCAGTTTGGCCATCAGTTTGTGAGTGATATGCAGTGCTCGAACTCAATTTAACTCCCATAACCTTGAAGAGAGTTTGCCAAAAATGATTGGTGAAAATCTTATCTCTGTCAGTCACAATTGACTATGGTAATCCATGCAATCTATACACTTCTTTCAAGAACTTATCAGCCACCTCTATTGCAGTAAAAGGATGTCTCAATGGTATAAAATGACCATATTTAGTAAGTCTGTCAATAACCACCAACAAGCAATCAAATCCTTCAAGGGATAGAAGTAATTTCTTAATGAAATCCATAGAAATACCTTGCCGAGCTTTCTGTGGAATAGGTAATGGTTGCAACAACCCAGGGGAATGGACATGTTCCACTTTGCTAGCCTAAGATATAGAACAGCTTCTCACAAATTGCTCCACATCCTGCTTCATGTTACCCACTTAAACAGACTTTTCATTCTTTGGTAAGTAGTTTTCTGACCTGAATGACCTCCCAAAGAAGAAGAATGAAAAGATTCAAGCAACAATTTCCTGATGACACCACGACTTCCCACATAAATCTTACCATCCACCTTCAACAATCCCCCAACATACTGCCATTGAGGGTTATTAGCATAGCAGCCAGTATCATCTTTTGTGATTCTTCATCACCCCTGTAACTGCTAGCTAACTGTTGTAACCAAATTGGTTGAACAGTTTACAATACATAACTGATCATCCACAGGACCAACACTCTTGGAAAGTGCATCAGTTGCC